AATCAAACTTCATTTTTAGAAGTGTTTTGGTGAATATATCAGCTAGTTATTTTTCTGAGTTATAATGAGCTAGATTAATTTTCCCTTCACTTTCAGTTTCTTGAACAAAATGATATTTAATTTTGATATGTTTAGTCTTCCTATGTTGAATTAGATTCTTTGCAATAGTTATTACTGACTTGCTATTGCAAAATATCTTTGCAGGTTATTTTTGAATTGCACCCATTTCGGATAAAATTCTTCTTAGCCATATTGCTTGATTTGTAACAGCACATACTGCTATTGATTGATTTACAGTATTTTGTTTTTGACTAAGCCAAGAAAACACACCATTTCCATTCGAGAATACATAGCTAAAGTACTCTTTAGATCATTTAAAGATCTAGCCCAATCACTATCTGAATAAACAATCAACTCTACGTTTTTCATAGAATTGTACCAAATTCCATAATCTGAAGTTCCTCTTAGCCCAATCACTATCTGAATAAACAATCAACTCTACGTTTTTCATAGAATTGTACCAAATTCCATAGTCTAAAGTTCCTCTTAGGTAGTAAAGAACTCTTTTTTTTTTTACAAGGGAAAACAAAACAAATACGGCTAATTGAAAAGATCACACTTAGGTGTTACATATTCTGGGCTAGGAGACCCCAATGATATCCTCACGAAGGATGTGTAGAAGTCCCAGGGGAGGTTACGGTAGAAAATGACATCCCGTGGGGTCGTCATAAGCCAGGTTAGCCAGGTTAACTAGATAGTTTGCATCCCTATTTCCTTCCCGATTAACATGTTGTATGTTGACAGTCCAATCTTTTATGAGCCAAGTCTTGATTGCTAAAATAAGGTTTGAATTAACATTAGCCAGAGCCATTTCATTATTAATCACCTTATTTAGAATTTGAACGACGATGGCACTATCCATCTCAAGAATAACTCGGCCCAAACCCAAATTCCATGTAAGCTCAAGACCATCTAGGCCCCCCCATAACTCCGCATGAAGATCGGAACAAACCCCAATTTTCCTAAGCTGCCCACCAAGCAACTGTCCAATTCTATCCCTGCCAAGCACACCAACAAGGGCAATGTCATTGCTCTCGCAGCAGGCCCCATTCGTGTTGATCTTGATCCAATTCTGGGGCAAAGTCCAATTGATGAGTTTCTCATGCTTCTAAGTGTAATGGTCGGAAAGGGTAGAACCGAGGCTCGAGGCCTGGAACATGTACTCAGTCATTCTGAAGACCTCTTATCTGAACTCATCCATGCTGAGCGACCTCCTGTCGAAGACAAAGGCATTCCATTTCTTTCATAATAACCAGTATGTGATACCAAACACCGTTCTCCAGTCCTAAAAAGAGGAGCACCAACTATGTTGATTTTGCAATTTAGCGCAAACCCAATCATAAAAAAAAGTGCTGAAGAAGGTGTGAGAGGCCATCTGTGATTGATCTTCTATTAGAGAGCCTTCACCTGATACACTCCTTCAAAACATGGTTAATGTCCTCAATGTCAAGCCCACAAACAGTACATCCTGGATCATCCACCATATGTTTGCGGACCCGCTACGCACTAGTAAGTAACCGTCTCTGGAGGATCAGCTATAGGAAATATTGGATATGTTGTGCACCTAGCCACTTCTACGCAAGGTTCCATTTGCTATCTGTAAAAAGAGAAGAAATATCAGTAATCATGTGATAAGCAAATTTAATAGAAAACTTACCATCCAAGGAGAGACTCCAATATGGAACATCCGCTCCCATACCCTCCTGCAGGACCTTGACCGCAGACAACTGTATAAGAACCCCAGATAGAAGCCTGTTCTGCAACCAGTTCCAATCCCACTAACTATGTGAAGTCACCATATCCCTAACCCGTTGAGACCCGCTATTATTATTAATAGGTTGGAAGGCAAGGAGCTTAAGGGGGCCCACATCCCCCCAGCTAGTTATCCTCCCAAAAACTCACCATAGTGCCATCCCTGACATGTCAAGCCAACCCTAAACGAACCTCATCCTAGAGACCATTCAACTTTCTCCACAAATGAGAGCAGGATCCTAAATATTTGTTAGCCTTGTACTGGAAGTTCCACTTGTACTTATGATGCAGAATTTTGATCCAGAGAGGATGCGGTTGTGTAATAATATTAAAGCCAACTTTCATGAGAAAGGCTTTGTTGAGATTCTTAAGGCTTAGAATACCGTTTCCTCCATGGGTGGTTGGCTGGCACATGTCCTACAACTAACAAGGCTTGTCTTTCTCGCACCACTTGATGAGCCCCAAATGAAGTCTCGTATAAGCCGATCAATCTGATCGCATAGTAAACTAGGGAGGGCAGCAGTTTACATAGCGTAGGCGGGGATAACCATAAGCACCCATTTGGCCAGAGTGAGGCGGCCAACCATAGATAGACTTGTAGCCTTCCAACCGGTTAATTTCCCCTGCACCTTATCCAGGATATATCTTTAGGTATCCTTGGTTACCCTACCGTGAAGGAGAGGAACATCCAGGTACATGCCCAGGTTCTTGGATACCGGGAACCCAAAAATAGAGCTAATATGAGTAGTGTCCCTTACTGCAACGTTATGAGAGAAGAGAATATGGGTCTTAGACATGCTAATCTTATGCCTAGAACTCTCAGAGAACTCAGTGAGTAACCTCTTAATGAGTTGCACCTGACTATTAGAAGTCTCACTAAAAAGGATCAAATCATCCGTAAAGAAAAGGTACAAGAGCTTGAGGCCCCTCGAATTCAGAGTAATCGAACAACAATCCCCACTACAAACTAACTGATCAATATACTAGGAAATACACTCCATATATAATATAAAGATATACAGTGAGAGAGGGTCATCCTGCCAGATACCTCTCGATGGAGTGAACTCCTCCGTGGCCTTCCCGTCCTAAAGGAGCTGCATGGAACCTGAGCTAGTGCAATGCATGATGACCCGAGTCAGATCATGTGGGAGGCCAACACCTTGGAGAGTGTCCTCAATGAACTCCCAACTGAGTCTATCGTAAGCGTTTTTAAGATCCACTTTAATCGACATCTAACCCACCTTGCCCTTATTCCATCTCATTGAATGGATAACCTCCTAGGCCATTATTATATTGTCCGAGATATTTTTGCCTTCGACAAAGCTTGCTTAAGTCTCGCTAATTAGAACAGACATAATTTTCTTAAGCTTGTTAGTAATGATTTTTGTGATAATTTTATACGAGACATTAAGCAGACTTATAGAACGAAAGTCCTTAATAGGCATAGGTCTCGCCACCTTAGGAATCAGTGTGATTAAGGTTTTGTTAAGACCTATCTCCAGCTCACCTACTTGGAAAATTCTTGTCACCATGGCACACATCAAGTCGCCGACCATGTCCTAGTGGTGCTGAAAAGAGGCTGCAAGCAAGCTGTCAAGGCTCAATGCCTTGAGAGGTTTCATGTCAAATAAAGCTGCTTGAATATCCTCTCTAGTGACCCGGCTACTTAATGCATTGATAGAATTTGTACTGAAGACTGGGAATCTACCACAGACAGTGAAGGTGTGATCATTAGATGCCTCATTGCAATATAGTGCTCTAAAGAATTCGGTGGCCCATGTGCTTAAGCTGACTCTCATCTAAACCCAATTGCACGACTATCCTGAAGCATAATAATCCCTACTTTCACCTATGCTAACCATCGTGCATGCATGAAAGTAGGTCATGTTCTTATCACTCAGGGATATTAACTCACATCTCGACTTCTGCATCTAATAGAGTTCTTCCTGCAAAAGAGTATCCTCGAGTTCCTGGCGAAGGGAGACCTCAAATCTCCTCAGATACTCAGAATTTGAGCGTTCAAGGGCCTTTTAGATGCCGTTGATACAGGCTGTTAAACGTCCCTTCCTCTAAAATATATGGCCGAAAATCATGGTATTCCAATCCTTAGCATGTTGGGAGAAATTATCCATCATGGCTTGGAATAAATCACCACCCTTCCATGTTTTTTGGACAAGGCTAAGAAAATCCGGGTGGATAAACCAAGTAGCAAGAAAGCGGAAGGGCGGGGAATGTTATGTATAATGTGACCTGGTGTTAATGATGAAATGTCTATGGTCAGACTGGAGCTTGGGGAGGTGTTGTACAACTGAATTCGGGAATATATTAAGTAAGGAGGAGTTTGCAAGGTAAATTTTGGTCCCATAAAATCAGTTTGGGAAAAGAATTTGTGATTGATAAATTGAGCAAAAGACAGACAGCCTCCACTTCCTCTAGCGACACCACCCTGTTTATCAGAGCTATCAATGATCATATTGAAGTCCCCAGCGATCAACTAAGGCTCATGAACGGTGATACTAACTTGAGTGAGGTGAGTCTAGAGATAGCGACACTTCTACGCTTGGGGACTACTATACACAGTGGTAAAAAAGATCCCCAATTCGCTATCATTATAGTGAATCCGAGTGTGAACAAATTGGATGTTATTAACTAAGATGTTGACACGAATTAGATCATTCCATAAAAGCTAAATACCTCTAGCGAATCCATGAGCTTCC